CCAGGAAGGCCTGCCGGAATCGTCCTTGTGCCCCTCACCTCTGGGATGAACATCAAGAAGTGATGAATGGGGTGCAGAGACACGGAGCAAGGAGGGGCAGGGCAAAGTTGCCCCAGAGGAGCAGTTGACTGTTGAGCATTTGCTAAGCCACTTCAGGCCTTGAGCCTAGAGTTTTAGGAGGCCATCCAGACAGGGACTTTTGAAAAAGATGTCAGAAAAGATTCTGGAGAGAGCAGCTGCTGACCGGCCCTGCGGCCCTCCTGCTGTTTGCCCAGCCCTGGGCCCTGACTTCTCCAAAGCCCCTCCTGGATGCCCCTCATTCTCCTCCACTCCCAGGCTGGGTTTCTGCAGGCAGCAGTGCCATCTGGTGGCAGGCAGAGGCTGTGCCAGGAACAGGTGAGCTGGACCCTGGATTCTCACAAGGGCTCTGATTTTCAGGACCCCAGCCAGCAGGGGAGCCACCACCTTGCTGGCTAGATCATGCACAGAGGGAGGGTATCTAAGGCTTGAACAAAGCCCCATTCTGGTGCATCTGGGTTCATGGCCCAGGGGGCACGGCAGGAAACTCAGCTGAAGGAATGCCGGGGGATGGGTGTAGTAAAGTTTTGAGTCCAGTCTCTGGATCCACAAACCTGGATCCCCTTCCTTGGGTGTTCAGATTTCTCATCTGTATAGAGGGGTAACTGTATTTACCCTGTGGAGTGGTAGTGAGGGTTACATGAAAAAGTGCGGGTAAAACACTTGGCAGAGAGCTTAGCTTGCTGTAAAGTCAAAGGAAATGGTGGTGGCCTTTACTGATATAGGCAGTTCCAGAAGCACAGGGAAGAGAGTTGTGTGTTGTGGCAGGCGAGACGTGACATGTCTGTGGCACTGTCACATCATATTCTAGAATTCTGCTCCTGAGCAGCTGCTCCAAGGTATACACTTGAGGGCAGTCACTTTACCGGAAAGAGGGGAATAGGATCCAGAGGGGAACGGAAACCAGAGACCCAGCATCAGGCCCCGGCTGGCTGCTTACTGGCTGCGGAACCTGAGCGCGGCTGGGTTGCTGCGTCCCGTGTTCCCCGTGTGACAGCGCTGGCTGTGAGGACTCTGTATAGAAATGTACGGAAACTTGCCCAGGGCTTCTAGAGAGAAAAAGGCTGGGTAGGATCTTGTCAAGGAGAGATGCTGCTCACCTGTGCGATCATGTTTACCTTTCATGTCCCCAAAGAGGTACCCCTGAGTCGTTGGCTCTGCTAATTGCTTGTGTGCTGTTGGGCAAGTCACTCCAGGCTTCACTTTTCCCAGCTGTAAAATAAAGGAGTTCGATGACCTCTGAGGTCAGCCGACCTTTCGATTTTTCTCTTTTCTCTGTCTCGCATACAATATCCAGGATAAATATTTATCGATCCTATTGGGTAGATCTTGAAAAGAAAAGGTAAGGGAAAACCAGTGCCTTCTGTTTAATGGGTGCTGTGGTTTCTGATATGCTCGTGGGAAATATTTTCTCAGACGCTGTGTGTTTTAGGCATAATGGGGCAAATGGAAGAATAAACCTGGGGCACTCCCTGAAGGACGCAAGCCCTGGCGTGGGCGGGGCGTCGCTTACTTTTCGCTTCCGCTTTCTGAAGCAGCCAATGAGTACACGGCAGTTCTCATTTATGCTAAAAACTACACGTCCCAATAGTCAACGCGCGGGGCCAGAGTGCGCGTGCGCCGACGAAGACTGGTGGGCTCCGCCCCTGGAAGCGGAACTTCATTTCCCAGACGGCCCCGGGACTCGTCGGTGTTCCTGAACTCATGCTGGCGTTATCCTTCCCGCCTCCCGCCCGTGAGCCGCGCGCCAACTCGAGGCGCCGCGCGCGCGCGCGCGCGGGGCACGTAGCACCAGAGTGACGCATAATATGTGGGCCCCTTCGGAACCGTGGTCGCGCTGTGTGTGAGGGAGAGTGAGTGCGGGACCTGAGGCAGTGTGTGTGAACTGCGGCCGCTGGCGGGGCAGGGGGGAGCGGCGGAGCCGCCCGGGAAGGTGAGTGGGGAAGCGACGGTCTCCGGGAGGGATGCGAGGAGACAGCGCGCGTGGCCGGGCGGGGGAGAGTGGGCGCCGGCCTGGGGGAGGGGCGGCACCTGCCTGGCCGTCGGCGGGGAGGGGGCGGGCCGGGCCGCCGGGGAGGCTGGGCCCGCGGCCTGAGAGGACTTTTCCGCCCCCAGGTTCTTCCTCCAGTCCGCAGAAGCAGCTCCTCAGGAGTAACTCTAACGCCCGGCGAGGGGGCAGGGGTGTGCCGCCCCTGCCTGGAGGAGGGGCGCCTCTCGTTCCCCTAGTCACCTTCTCCTCCCTGTCTTCCCGGGCTCCGTGCCGTACGGCTGGATGGCTCCATCTTTCCTGCCGTACGGCCGCCCCCCTCCCAGACTGGGTCTCCGCCTCCAGCTCCAGCCACCTAGGCGGGCTCTCCCCTCCCTCGGCCCCGTGCCACCTCCCCCTGCACCCGCCCAGCTCTCGGACGGGGCGAGGAGGAGGAGCTTTGCGGGCACTCCCACCGCCGGGGTGGCCCGGGGGGGTGGGAGAGGCACGCGGGTCCTGCAGCGGGAGCCGGGATCCGAGGGCCGCGGAGCTTCCCCGGAGCCTGCTTCCGGCAGTTCTAGTCGTTTTCACGTGGGGTGTCAGAGGTGTTCGCCTAACTCCCCGTTCTCTTCCCAGACGGTTTCCGTCTCACTTCCTCTTACTGCAGTGGTAGCGCTCGGGTTCCGATTTGTCGAAGTAGTTTTGGAGCGTAGTAGTTCCTTTTCAGTCCCTAATGACTCGTCCTGGTCCACGTCACGTTGGCCTCAGTTTTTCTGTACTGGCCTTTTAATTAGTCTACATGTTTTAATTGTATTAGCAGTAGCATCTTCTTAATGCTTTGTTAACGACCAGAATGAGATGTTTGTTGGCAGTGCCGTCCTGTAATTTTCCCGTTTACTGGAGTTTACCTTTAAGGTTTATATAAGCCTGTAATATATAGACTCTTCAGGAATCGATTTTTTTTCTTGATGCTGTCAAGATTTGGGTTTTGTATGTAGTAGTTATTCATATCCATTTTTGAGTGGTGATATATTTTTGATGTTAAAGAGATGAAAAAGAATTTGGGGAATGTAAAGGAAGTCATTCTGGGCTGAAAATCTCTTCAGTAGCTGCCGAGCAGTGTTTTGCTGTTGTATGTCAAACAGTCGTTACATGTGGGAGGAGAGGAGTTTGGTAGAATGAACCACATCAGTTTGAAGTGATTGAAGTTGATGATTACCAATTATGTTGGTTTCTCTGTGGTCACGGACAGTAATAGAAAATTGTTATGCATGATCTCATATGTCACACTAATATTTCGGTTTTATTTGAAGCTCCAAACTTGTTTTTTTTCCCCTCAGGTTATTGTTTTTGTTTTAATAAAGAAGAATGCTTACAGACACTTGTTTCAGGATTGTAACCTTACAGGATCTGTCCTTAGCATGGCTTTATTTTAGACATGGGGATACTTTCTGCAGAACAGGCCGTTCAGTATTGTGTGTTAGGACAGATTTTATGGTTTAATTAAAAACTTACAAAAAGGTACAGAATAATGGAAAATTGGTATAGCTAGGGAAATTATGTATAGTGAAAACTCTCTCTCCTCCCTTTATCCATCAGAAAGTCAGTTATCTGCCACAGAAGTAATAGATTCGATCTGTTTCTGTGTATTCCTCCGGGGGTATATTCCTGGGAGAGAGACACACCCACATGCTCTGTGCTTTTCTGTCTTGTCAGTATATTTGAGAGCTGGGCCAAATAAGGAAAGTAAATGCTTAATTTTTTCCAACTTCTTAATTATGAAAATTTTCAAACATTAAGAAGTTGAAAAAATAGGAAAACGAGCACTTTGTCCATGCCAGATGCAACCATTGTTAATATTTGCCATTTTTTTTCTATTTATAGGTGTGGTGTATATTTATTTCGTGGAACCATTTGAAAATAAGTTGCAGACCCATCACCCCTGGATACTTTGGCAGCCATCCTTTAGGATCAGGACGTTCTTCATATTTTTTGTAGGGCTTTGTATTATTCCATTGTATGGACAGTATTACCATTTAGCCCTCACAACAACCATTTCCATTTTATAGATGAGGAAATTAAGGTTTGGAGAAGTTAAATAACTTGACTAAGACCTCAGAGGTATGTCAGCAGAGCTGGAATCTGAATGCTTGAAACCTTTTTCCATCAAGTACCAAATGGATTGGTCTTGGAGACCTCTCTGAGCCCGTTTTCTAAGTAAATGACTTAACCAGGTATCTATTCCATACTAATATTCACTAATTGGTAGCTATTGCGTCACTATCGGACAGGTCATAAATTGTGTATATCACTTAGAGAACTCACTTTAAAGCATGGTGAAGTGAGTAATGCGTCTTCACTGTCTTGAGCATAACAAGATGACTGCATCTTTTACATTTTGTATTAATAGTAAAAGGAATTGTCATTGATACTATTAAAAGTTTATATTTTCCCTTGGCAAGTGATTATTCCCACAGTTATAATTATTCTTAGATATAATTAATTAGAAGTTTTCAAAATCGTACCAACAGTATATGTTTCAAAATTGTATATTAACAGTATATTGTTTCTAAATCTTAATATTTTAATGCCCTTGAGATGACCTATATTAGAGGAAGTATTTTCTTTAAATTTTGCCTTTATATGCTCTATTAGGCTGATTGCTTAAGTTATTCAAGGGGCATTCCCTCTTGGACCTTTATTAGATTTTCCATTTTAAGGAAAAATAAAAAGTTGACATACCATAAATTAACCATTAACCATTTAAAGTGTCCACTTCAGTGGCATTTAGTAGCTTAACAGTGTTGTGCAACCATCACTTTTAGTTCCAAGACATTTTTAGAACCCCAAAAGGGAAACCCCATATACATTAAGCAGTCACTTCATAGTTCCCCTCCTCCAAGCCCCTGGCAACCACTGGACAGCTTTCTTGTGTAAGGATTTCCCTATTTTGGATGTTTCATATATATGGAGTAATACAATGTGTGATTTTTTGTGTCTGGCTGCTTTCATTTAGTGTATTTTCAAGGTTCACCCACAGCTGTAACATATTGGTGCTTCATTCCTTTCTGTGGCCCAGTAATGTTGCTGAATATTACTTAGTATGAAAATTTTCATAATTAAGTTGGAAAAAATAAAAGCACATTTTGTTGAATATAAGCATGTTTTGGTTATCCATTTGGCTGTTGATGGACATTTGGGGTTGTTTCCACCTTTTGGCTATTGTGAATATGGTGCTTTGAACATTTGAGTACAAGTTTTTAAATATCTGTTTTCTATTCTTTGGTATTACATACCTTGGCTTGGAATTGCTGGGTCATATGCTAAGTTTATGTTTAACATTTTTAAAGAATTTTTTGAGGAGCCACCAAACTGTTTGCCGTAGTTACTTTGGCATTTGCCATCCCACCAGCAGTGCACATCGCAGGGTTCCACATCCTTGACAATGTGTATTCTGATTTTTTAAATTATAGTCATGCTAGTGGGTGTGAGTGGTATCTCACTGTGGTTTTGAGTTTCATTTTCCTAGAAGCTAATTATGTTGGACATCTTTTCATGTACTTGCTGGTTATTTGTATATCTTCCTTGGAGAAATGTCTATTTAGTCCTTTGCCCATTTTTGAATAATTTTTTTGTTGTTGAGTTGTAGGAGTTCTTTATATATTCTGGATACTAGATCTTTATTAGTTATATGGTTTGCAGCTATTTTTCTCCCAATCTATGGGTTATCTTTTCACTTCCTTGATGATATCTTTTGATGCAGAAAGTTTTAAATGTTGAAGTCCACAATTTATCTGTTTTTTTTTTTTTTGGTTGTTATTTATGCTTTTGGTGTTAGAAATAAAAATCCCTTGCCAGTTTCAAAGTCATTAAGATTTACTTACCCCTAGGTTTACATTTAAGAGTTTTATGGTTTAAACTGTTGCATTTAGGTCTGTGATCCTTGAGTTAATTTTTGTGTGTGGTGTGAGGCAATTACTCAACTTCACCCTTTTTGCAAGTGGGTATCTAATTCTCAGTATAATTTGTTGAAAGACCATCAGTCTTTCTACTAATGGTCTCTGAACAACTTCTTTATGTATTAAGTGGCTTGGCATGCTTGTTGAAAATCAGTGGACCAGAATATGAGATTTTATTTCTGACATTCAGTCCTTTGCATTGGTATTTCTGACTCTCAGTCCTATTGCATATGTCTATTCTTATGCTAGTACCATGCTGTTTGATAATTGTAGCAAGTTTTGAAATCAGAAGTGTGAATTCTCCAACTTTCTTCTTTTTCAAGATTGCTTTGTTTATTCAGGGTCCCTTGCAATTGAATATGAATTTTAGGATTATTGTTTCCATTTTTGCAAAAAAAAAGGTCATTCGCATTGTGATAGGGATGGCATTGATCACTTTGGAGAGTACTGCCATCTTCATGGTGCTAGGTCTTCTAAGCCATGAGTTTAGGAATTTACATTTATCTAGGTCTTCTGTCATTTATTTCAGCAGTGCTTGTAGTTTTCAGTGTATAAGTCTTGTGTGTTTTGGGGTTAAATTTATTCATTATTTTTTTCTTTTTGGTGCTGTTGTAAATGAAACTTTTCTTAATGTCATATTTGAATTCTTGCTAGTGTACAGCAACACAACTGATTTTTGTATGTTGATCTTGTACCCTGTAACTTCGCTGATTTATTAACTGATATTTTTTTTGTGTGTGGATTCTTTCAGATTTCCTGTATATAGGATCATGTCATCAGTGAATAAAAATAATTTTACTTTCCAACTTGGATACTTTTTATTTATTTGTCTTGCATAATTGCTCTGGCAAGAACTCCAATACAGTGTTTAATATTAGGTATGAAAGTGGGCATTCTTGTCATATCTCTGATTGTAGGGGAAAAGTTTTCAGTCTTTCACCAATGAGTATAATGTTAGCCCTGGGTTTTTAAAAATGTCCTTCACCACGTTGAGGACGTTCTTTTCTGTTTCTGGTTTATTGTTTTATCACAAAAGGATGTTGGATTTTGTTAGATGCTTTTATGGTGTCAGATGATCATGGGGTTTTTCTCCTCCATTCTGTTAATGTGGTGTGTTACATTAACTGCTTTTTGTATGTTGAACCACCTTTGCATTCCTAGGGTAACTCCTCCTTGGTCATGATATATAATCCTCTTCATAGACTGCTGTATTCAGCTAGTATTTTGTTGAGGATTTTTGCCTCTATATTCATAAAGGATATTGGTCTGTAGTTTTCTTGTGATGTCTTATCTGGATTTGGTGTCAGTGTAATGCTGGCTTCATGGAATAAATTAGGAAGTGTCTGCCCTCTTCTGTTTTTGGAAGAATTTGAGAATTGATGTTAATTCTTCAGACAGTTGGTAGAATTCACCAATAAAGCCATCTCTTGCATTCTTAAAATATGTCTTAAGAGATTAATTTTATCATTACTACTTTGCCTAGTCTCTAGGTTTTTTACTGTAGTGTAAAATTTTACTGTTTGAAAAAAATGGTTGAACTATTGCTATATCTTAACCCCTGGCTAGTAGTACTCAAGATTGTCAAGATCATGAAAAGTAAAGAAACATTCAAAAACTGTCACAGACCAGAAGACACTAGGAACACATGACAGTTAAATGCATGTAGTATCCTAGATAAGATTTTGGAACAGAAAAAGGATGTGAATGGAAAAACTGTTGAAATTTGAAGTTTAAGTTAATGTGCCTATTCGGGTTTCTTAATTTTGACACTTTAACACTATAAAATATACTATATTACTATAAAATAAGCTACTAACATTAGGGGAAATTGAACAGGATGAGGGGTATATGGGACTTCTCCCTACTATCTTTGTGTGTGTGTGTGTGTGTGTGTGTGTGTGTGTGTGTGTGTGTGTGTACATTTATGTAACCATTGCCCAGCTCAAAATACCAGATATCTTACTAGGTTTTCTCCCTCTTCTTCTGTATCACCTACTCCCCCACACCCTTCCATTATAGCAACCACCACTAAGTTTTCTGTGTTTGTGGGTTTTTCTCAGTTTTGTTTGTTTTGTTTTTTAGATTCCACCTATAAGTGAAATCATTTGGTATTTGTCTTTCTCTGACTTATTCCCCTAGCATAATACCCTCTAGGTCATCCATGTTGTCTTAAATGGCAAGATTTCATTCTTTATCGCTGGGTAGTACTCCATTATGTATATGTACTACATCTTCTTTATCCACTCATCTACTAGGTTGTTTCCATGTTTTGCCTATTATAATTTCCCTACTATCTTTGCAAACTTTTTGTGAATCTAAAGTTATTCCAATAAGATAATTAAAAAAATGCATATGTAATTCATAGATGGTAGTAAAAAATAATAGCCTGGGTTATTTTGGGCTCAGGTCCCTGATAGTTGGTCATACCTGCAGCATTTCCTGTTGGTGACTTTGACTTGAAGAACTGAAAATGTGGATTTTTCTCTAGAAAAGAAGCCTTTAAGTTCTGTTGCTTTGGAAATAATTATGCTCCTTATAGTTATGGGTAGCCCAGGTAACATGAATCAGTATCTGCTAATTACTAGAATTGCTTCTACTTTATTAAAACACAAGCATTTATATTCCAAAGAGTTGGTAGTATCATCTTCTCCATTTATTTCTTTTGGTCTTATGTTAGATACCTTTGAAAGAGTACACAGTAATCTTAGACCAGCTCATAATCCCTTTCTGGTGTGAGGTTTTTATAGAACAGTTGCTATTTTTGTGAAAATACACATTTTGTATGGCAGAATCTGAAACCTTGATCTTAAGGCTACTTTGGCAAAAAAAATGGATCTATAAACTAAACATCTGGGTCTCATTTATCCCTTTTGGAACCCCTGCTGAGGCTGTCTTTTTCCCCATGTGGATGTCTCATGAGGCTCCTTCAAAGCCTGTCTCAGTTCCCTGTCCTAGTAACTGTTCAAGTCAGCAACTTTCTCTGCCTCTTTCCAGCATTGAAGCCTTGAGGACACCTGGGTTTATAATACTTCTCAACTTTCATGTGGGGAATGATACCCACTTCAGTTCTTGGCCTTTTATTAATTAAGAGGCATGCGTTGCTTATCTTTGATAGACCTTTTCCCCAAAGGCTTACAAGAGCAAAATATCTTGGGGAGTAGTTTTTACCAGATTTTGTATTTATAAAAAAATGTATCAAAGTTTTGGATCTCAGAAATCAAGATTTGGGATCATTGTACATATGGCATGTAGGTATGTGCATTTATTGAGGGGGAAAAGGGTCCCTGATTGTAAAAGGGTTAAGAATCACGATTTTGGTCCAGTCTCCTTTGACAGTTTCAGTGACAGTTGAGCAAACGGAGGTTGAGAGAAGTGAGAGTGTGTGTTCATCATGAATTGATGAGCATCCGGGCTTCCCACTGGGCCACAACTGAAATGATCTCAAGGGTCTGCGGGTTAAATTCTCCTTGCTTGTAATCATTTCCCTTGCTTGCCCACCCTTTTCTCCCCTGCCACACTCGCCTTTCATAGGGAGCGTGTCAGGTGTATTTGCCTGTGTCCATTGGCTGTTGCCTTTCCCTTCCTCCGTAGGCCGAGCCATGACTGCAGTAGCGGTACCTGTGGACTCCAAAGCTGAGCTCACCACCCTGCTGGAGCAGTGGGAAAAGGACCATGGCAGTGGGCAGGATATGGTACCGATCCTCACCAGGTAGGAGCAAGTGGAGTGCTTTTAAAAATGAGTTCGGAACAAAGGAGATTGAAACAAATTGGAGAATGATACAGGAACACTTGTACCTTGGCTGAAGTCTAACTCCTTTTTCTTCCCTGTTAGAACTAGTCTTCACCTCCCTCCCTGAAGCTTGGTAAATTCCATACCTTTTCTCCCAGGCCCTTTGTCCTCTTCTCCTTCACGGGCTCTCCTGCCTGTGTTTAACCCCGGGGCTCTGTTCGTGGATCTCTTCTGTCTTCACCCTCAATGAAACTGTCCCTGTCCATGATTTAAAGCATTATTCTTGTGCCAATCTTTGTTTCTATTTCAGATCTCTCCTTTTAAAGCTTCAGACCCACTTCTCACACAAAGGTGTGCGTGGTGTGCACACCTTTACCTGGCTGTGGCGCAGAGCCTCAGCATGGTGCCCCACAGTGACCCCTTCCGCCCACCTCCCTTGGTCACAGCTTCTGCTTTCGTGCTTGCCTCGCTGCACGCGGTTTCCCACCATCAAGCTGCAGACCAGCCCCGCGGGGCCTTCCTCTGCAAGCGCGTCAGTCGCGAGTCCTGAGGACTCTAGCGTGCCCCCCCGCCCTCCCCGCTCCCTGACTGGGTGCTGCCCAGTCCTCACTGGCCTCTGCCGGTGCATCTACCCTGGCTCTGGCTCACCCCTTTCTGAGACAGCCCCCTCTTTGCCAAAAGAGTCACCTTCTCACTCACATATCCGACTGTCATTCTGCTCAGAATTCTTCCCCAGCTCCCTTCTCCCTACAGATGAAATGCAGACCCTTTAGAGTGGCCTGTGAGGCCATTCATGATTTGGCGCCTGCCTGCTTTCCTGCTCACAGTGCTGGTCTCCTGCGAGGAACAGCGCCATATTTCTAATGTCTGTGTCCCTCTACACTTGCTGTTTCTTGGGCTGGAAACGACTGTACTTGGCATGTCTGCCTAGCATGCTGTGATCCTTTCAAGAAGCAGTTCAAGAGTCACGTCTGGTAAACGCCGATGACTAGGGCGTCTCTGGGTCGCTCTGTGGGCGCTCCTGTCTGTCATATATATAGGGACATAAATACATATAAAATAGCTTACCCCCATCTTAATTCTTGCCACACTGTACTATAATTTTTTTATTTTAACATGTGTCTCCATAAATTGTAAGCATTTTAAAGGCAGGTGCCACACGCCTTTATTGGTGTCTCCTCAGACGATTTGCCCACTGCCTGGTGCATAGTGACTGTGTGGGACATAATTTTAGTGAATGAATGTGTTGAGGAGAGAAAGTGAAAAATGAAGACTGGGGAGGGATGCCCAGGTTTTTCTAAGCAGATCCTGGAACATGGGAGCTTTGACATCTAACCTTTGATTATCATATCATAGCAGTGAGAAAAGTTTTTTGTTTATGCAGCGATCTGTTCTTTCAGGATAAAGAGAACTATATGATCTTATGAAGTTTAAACAAGGATAAATGCTTTGTTCATAACTGCTCTTAATATGTGGGAAATGTGAAAGAATAGTTTTTCAGGGATAGGATTGTTACGGACTCGGGGAGAGCGGACTTTAATTCGCAGAGGAGTTGAAAATTAAGAACTACTAATTACAAGGTACCTGAAATGCAGCCTTAGTGGATTAAAGAATCTAAGTACTGTGTAATTGACCATGTGGGTTATTGGTACAACTAAAAGGAGGAGAGAGTCTTAAATGGGTATGATAATGTTAGTGGTGATTCACGTGATTAGTTAAAAATATTTAACTGAACATGTACACTAAAAATACTCAGTGTTTTATTTTCAAGATTATTTCACATTCATCATCACATTTGACCCCCAGCTTTGTCACTGTGCTGTGATATTCAGCAGTGTGAAGCCTGTAACAGAGGGGTCCTGTCGCCAAGGAGATAGTCTCTGGGAGGCAACTGAAGGGCATGGAACAGCACAGAGTGGCGTGATAGGTTTTTCAGGAAGAGGTGAATCGAGCAGTGTGGTTCCTAAAGATTGTGAGAATGGGAAGAACCTGAATGAATTAGTTTCTTCTATTCACTCAACAAATAGTTACAGACCTTTCTGTGTGTCAGAATCATAGGAGACACTTCCTGAACCTCAAGTTCCTCGTTGTCACTGAAAGTATCACTGAGGGCCGCATTGTTAAAAGCTGCTTGGCAAAGGACCGCGTAGCCAGGCAGCGGAAGGCCGAGGTCAGAATCCTGGGTTTTAACGCCACTCCCAGTGGCCTTCCCAGTACTGAATGTGGTGAGGGTTCCTTGGACTAGGGACTCCTTGATGAAAAGCAGGGAGGTGGGTTTCCTAGGAAGAGTGAAAAATGTGACCGAAAAAGGCATCCAGGGAAAAGGAACTGGGGCACATTCTTGTGGCAGTAAGGAAGTGGGCCTCCCAGAATGGAGTGAATGTCAGCTAGGAATGGAAAGGGGAGTCGTCTGGGGCAGGACCTTTAAGGGCAGACAGGAGGTGTGAGAGGCAGTAGGGCGAATCCAAAGCTGAGTTTGCTGTGGAGGCAACTCCCACTGTCCTCCCGGGGCGAGGCCGCTGGCTCACCGATGCTCCTGAAGCGCCTTCGGTGGCTCTAGCCTCGTCTGCCCCTGCCCCCACCAGCTGGCTACAGATCGGGTGTTTTGGTATATTCCATGAAAAGCAGAGGAATTTCAGGCCCACTTAACTCTTTTTACTGACCACTATTTTTTTATTTTATTAAGGTATTATTGATATACACTCTTAATGAAGGTTTCACATGAAAAACAATGTGGTTAATACATTCACCCTTATTATTGAGTCCCCCCCATGTCCCATTACAGTCACTGTCCATCAGTGTAGTAAGATGCCACAGAGTCAGCTATTTGCCTTCTCTGTGCTACACTGTTACTGACCAGTATTTTTATGGCCTTTTTGCAGTTTTCCTAAGAAAAATGTACAAGTGTTTGTTAACTGACTTTTCATTGATCATTTGTACTTTTAATTTATTATAATCAAGTCTTTGACTTGATCCTGTGAAAAGGGACTGGCACTGGGCCAAGCTATGTTTAGTTTAACCCAACTTCTCAGTTTTTTTTTTTAACATTATTGGGATACACCTTATAGACTGCACAGTACTCTGCTTTACTTGTTCAGCCGTCACACAGATCAGGTTACGGAACTGGACCACCAGCCACAGAAGCCCCCTCCTGCCCCATCCCAGTCAGCTGCTACCTTGAATTGTTTTTCTATTTGTTTTTGATTCCCAGTTTTTACAATAGTAGCACCTGCAGAGCTCTTACATGTCAGCTTTTGTTCTAAGCAGAGCACGTACATTAAGTCAAGTCTTGGGAAGCTCTGTTAGGTAGGGATTGTTAACTCTCATTTTACGTGTGAGGTACAGAGAAGTTAGGCAGTCGGACCAAAGTCACACACAGTGGACGAAGTACAGTTTGAACCCTGTCCATCGGGCTCCAGAAGCCATGTTTTTAATGTCTCCTGTGCTGTATTGCTTTGTTTCAACTGAAGATACCAGTAAATCTTATATGTACTTCTAAACATACTGTGTGATTGCCCTTTGTGGCAGAGAATTTTTCAGAGTTTACAGGGGAAAGGTAGAAAAAGCAGAAATACTTCTTAGGCTCAGGGTGGAAGGAGAAGACCAGGCAAGAATGTTTGCAGGGAGCTTAACCCTTAGGCCTAGGAAGAATGGCTTTGTGGAAATACACATAGGAGAGTTGGAGCTAGGATAGAGCATGCTACATGCTGGGGAGTGGAATAGCCTTGTACTTGGTCATTGTAACAGATTAATATGTCAGCTTAGGGCAGGTAGGAAGTGATTTTTCTTGTGTCAAAAAGACTGCATGAATAAAAAAGAACTATAGATAAACTTAGCAACATGGCTGGCTGACTCAACACAGGCTAAGCAGAAGAACCCAGATGTGAAGAGTGTATATAATACCATTTATGTGAAATTCTAGAACAGGCAAGCTAACCCTCAGTGAGGGAGAGCGGACGAGTGGTTGCTGGGGACAGCTGGGGGCTTAGGCAGGTGGAAGGCGGTCTGTGGGCCAAGGTAGAGCAGCACACCCTGAAGGGGTCATCATGGGCTGCGGGCTTGACCTTGGTGGGGGAGCAGTGGTCGGAGATGCAGACGGGAGCCGGATTGCTGTGAACCATAGTAGTACTTGGGCTTATTCAGATTGTGGTGAGTTTGAAAGTTGAAGAATGAATTGCTCAGGTCAAACATGGAAGCAGGAGGTGGGAGACCAGGGTGAAGGCTGTTGCGAGGAGGCCCGGCAGTTGACAGTGGTTTGGACAAGGGTAGGAACAGCCAAGATTGAAAGAAATGACTGAAGTTGGGAGGTATTTTGTAGTAGAGTCAACAAGAATTATTGGGGGGTGAGGAGAAAGGTTTTAATGATGACTCCTAGGTATCTGGCTTCTGAGGGCATTAGTAGTGCTATTTTTTGAGACCTGAAAGTAGAGAGAAGAATGTGCTTGGGAGTGGAAACTGTTAGATGAGATGGTGATTAGGTCCCTACGTTCATCAGGAAAATGCCCTTCTCTAACTTTGTTCTTTCACACCTTGACTGTTGAATTGACTAATCTGGTGGTGCTACATTTTTTGTATACTTGTCTAGAGTTGATGGTCTTTCCTTTGTGCTAGGATGTCGGAGTTGATTGAAAAAGAAACTGAAGAATACCGTAAGGGGGACCCGGACCCATTTGATGACCGACACCCTGGTGAGACCTGTTCTCTTAAGCCTTGCTCTACTTTTCTTACAAAAAAAAATTGCTTAACAGGAATAGTTTTCACTGAAGTAGCATCTTGCATGCTGAGTTTTAAGATTGCTGATTTGTTAAAATACTGCTTAAGGTGGGTTCAGTGAGGAAAAATAAGTTCCTGGAGAAACGGAAATATTTGTAATATTTACATGTCAGAAGGCGACTAACTTAAGGAACTGAATTATATAGATACACCTTACTGACTCAGTTGGGTGTGATTACGAAAACTTGAAAGGGAAAAATGTTGTCTCTCTGACCTATAAAGGTGTTGCTCTCATGCTTTGGTCTCTCACACATGTGGATCACCTTCTTATTGAGGGCAGTGGCGGTTGTGGGAGCATGTCCAGGGCCTTGCGTAGTTGTGAGGTCAGTACTTGGATCTTCTCGATGTCTGCTTTAGTGTCTCAATGGCTGAAGTTTGCTATCTCATGTTAATTTGGCTTATTTTGGGCTGATTTAGTTAGAGCCGTGACAACCTAGCCTGCTTTGACATGTAATGCTATAATACAGAACTATAAGGGACTTGAGATGTTGTCAGTTTATGTTCTCTGAGGTAGATTTCCAGTGGGCCAAGCGTGACTTATATATGCGTGACTCCACACTGTGTATAAACCTTCTCTATAAAGCCAGAAGCAATGCTTTATAAAGGAGAGAAGAGTCTGAGCTGTTGTGTGTGGAGAGAGTGTGGATTTACACAAGTAAGAACACTGCGTATTCACCTGGATGTCCCAGGGTTTCTTTCTGTCTGAGACTCATGCCTCAAGTGTAGTAAGCTAGGCATGTCAGACCAGGGGGCCGGTTGTTTATACCTGCTGCTCTTGTCCTAGATGTCCTCACTAGTGGCTTCAGGACTATTCCCTGGCCTGTCTCACATCTTTAGTGAGGCAGTCGGCACGAAGAGATACAGAAGTGAAAGTCAAGTAAGAGATCGAGTTAATGCATGGGATTATGAAGAGAGTTAAGGGACTTGTCATGCGTGGTGATACTGTCTTGGAAAGGGTGAACTAGTTGGAAATGAGAAGGGAGAGCCAGAGTGATATGCCTGTTCTCAGGAGAAATTTAAAGACAGTTTTTTCTTACCTATGCCTCTGTGTTAAGCAGTATTTGTTGTTGGGCATAATTTCTGGTAATAAAAACAAGTGTCTTAGTTTCATCATGTTGAAACAGGAAGGTAATCAGAGGTCCTCATTTAGTTTTATGGTACCATTCAGTAACTTTTCTTTTTGTGAATTACTTTGGGATTCAGATTTGAGCCTGGTAAAGCATCACATCAGCAGTGCACATCTTTTCTTCCTCCTAAATTGTATCTTTTGAGTAAATTTCCCACTCTGATGCTCTGAAAGGAAAATTAAATAAGATAGATTGTATCTGTTTTTAAAAGAAACTGTTAATTCTCCCAACCATAAACTAATTCTCTTATGTTTAGGGCTGTTTGTTGAGGAGATCCTAGATTCCTGGCCTCCTTTCTTTCCCCAGGAGCTCAGAGGTAAAGATGGCCAAGGTTACTGTTATCGTTAGAGTTGGTGACTGCCTAGCAGGATCCCCCCAACCTGGGGTGTCGATACAGGTTTGAGGACTCATCTCTGCTACTGTTGGCAGTTTAGTTGGAAGAGAGATTGGACTTGGAGCCTGTCTTCTCCAGGCCACCTACCAAAACGAGTTTGTGCTTCCCAGCTTTCTGTGGCTGGAACGCAGGGGTCTCTCCCCCTCAGGCCCACGTACGGTTCTTTGGTAGACTTTGCAGACTCAGCATGGCTGGGCTGGGCTACCTGCTCGTCTGTTCAGCTGGGCACTGCTGTGTGGGCAATGTGCTGGGAGATGGGAAGGTCAGAGAGCAGTGTCTCAAGTGTTCATATTGTCAGTTTTAATTTAAAGACTGATTCTTAAGAAATTGAGTTAATGAGAAAAACCTTTTGTTTATCTCATTTTATTTTTGCTGGCATCGTAATGGCACTTAGAAGCAGCCAGGTGCCTCTCTATAGGCCTGCGTTGCCTGCCTGGGATGACTTACTCATACCTTTGTCCCCCCTCTTTTGGTAGGTCGAGCTGATCCAGAGTGTATGCTGGGCCACTTGCTGAGAATACTCTTCAAGAATGATGATTTCATGAACGCAGTAGGTTCGCTTCTCCTTTTCTCCAGAGACATGTCAGCACCAATGCGCCTTTATTGTTTCTCTAAATGGTTTGCTTTGTCGTGAGGCCTGGACAGAGTTGGGCATAGAGTGGGTTTTCTTCACCTTTGGTTCAGGGATGTGAGCGTGGCCATTCACTGTTCCTGGCCGCGGGCTTTGTCTGGTGTGTACTTTGTTCAGCCGAACATTGGTGAGGGCTCCCAGGAGTCTTGGTCCTGCTTGGGCGAGATGATTCTGAGTTCAGGAATGTTGGGGTTCTCCTGGGTCCCTGAATAGAAAACTGCGAGCAATGAATGCAGCTTGATCCTGCGCTGCCACTGTAGTGTGGGCGTTGGGCACCTGGTGGGAGAGAAAGGCGCCTTCTCTAACGCAGCTCCTGAGGAGCGCCTGAGGGCAGAGCGTAAATGCACACAGCGCTCACAGCTCCCGAACCTAGTGACCATCAGGAAGTTGCAGCTGTACTTCTTGGGCTTCGGGGCCCATGTTTCGGGTTTAAACGCAGCTCTACCACTCACTGACAGCGTGGTCTTTAGGCACCGGAAGCCTCTTATTTTCTGAGTGTGTCAAATGGGTGATAGCGCACCTCAAAATGTTGTGATGCTTGAATGAAATTGAGCATAAGAAGTGCCTAGCACAGCACACAAGGTAGAGCAGCACACCCTGAAGGGGTCATCATGGGCTGCGGGCTTGACCTTGGTGGGGGAGCAGTGGTCGGAGATGCAGACGGGAGCCGGATTGCTGTGAACCATAGTAGTACTTGGGCTTATTCAGATTGTGGTGAGTTTGAAAGTTGAAGAATGAATTGCTCAGGTCAAACATGGAAGCAGGAGGTGGGAGACCAGGGAGAAGGCTGTTGCGAGGAGGCCCGGCAGTTGACAGTGGTTTGGACAAGGGTAGGAACAGCCAAGATTGAAAGAAATGACTGAAGTTGGGAGGTATTTTGTAGTAGAGTCAACAAGAATTATTGGGGGGTGAGGAGAAAGGTTTTAATGATGACTCCTAGGTATCTGGCTTCTGAGGGCATTAGTAGTGCTATTTTTTGAGACCTGAAAGTAGAGAGAAGAATGTGCTTGGGAGTGGAAACTGTTAGATGAGATGGTGATTAGGTCCCTACGTTCATCAGGAAAATGCCCTTCTCTAACTTTGTTCTTTCACACCTTGACTGTTGAATTGACTAATCTGGTGGTGCTACATTTTTTGTATACTTGTCTAGAGTTGATGGTCTTTCCTTTGTGCTAGGATGTCGGAGTTGATTGAAAAAGAAACTGAAGAATACCGTAAGGGGGACCCGGACCCATTTGATGACCGACACCCTGGTGAGACCTGTTCTCTTAAGCCTTGCTCTACTTTTCTTACAAAAAAAAATTGCTTAACAGGAATAGTTTTCACTGAAGTAGCATCTTGCATGCTGAGTTTTAAGATTGCTGATTTGTTAAAATACTGCTTAAGGTGGGTTCAGTGAGGAAAAATAAGTTCCTGGAGAAACGGAAATATTTGTAATATTTACATGTCAGATAGAAGGCGACTAACTTAAGGAACTGAATTATATAGATACACCTTACTGACTCAGTTGGGTGTGATTACGAAAACTTGAAAGGGAAAAATGTTGTCTCTCTGACCTATAAAGGTGTTGCTCTCATGCTTTGGTCTCTCACACATGTGGATCACCTTCTTATTGAGGGCAGTGGCGGTTGTGGGAGCATGTCCAGGGCCTTGCGTAGTTGTGAGGTCAGTACTTGGATCTTCTCGATGTCTGCTTTAGTGTCTCAATGGCTGAAGTTTGCTATCTCATGTTAATTTGGCTTATTTTGGGCTGATTTAGTTAGAGCCGTGACAACCTAGCCTGCTTTGACATGTAATGCTATAATACAGAACTATAAGGGACTTGAGATGTTGTCAGTTTATGTTCTCTGAGGTAGATTTCCAGTGGGCCAAGCGTGACTTATATATGCGTGACTCCACACTGTGTATAAACCTTCTCTATAAAGCCAGAAGCAATGCTTTATAAAGGAGAGAAGAGTCTGAGCTGTTGTGTGTGGAGAGAGTATGGATTTACACAAGTAAGAACACTGCGTATTCACCTGGATGTCCCAGGGTTTCTTTCTGTCTGAGACTCATGCCTCAAGTGTAGTAAGCTAGGCATGTCAGACCAGGGGGCCGGTTGTTTATACCTGCTGCTCTTGTCCTAGATGTCCTCACTAGTGGCTTCAGGACTATTCCCTGGCCTGTCTCACATCTTTAGTGAGGCAGTCGGCACGAAGAGGTACAGAAGTGAAAGTCAAGTAAGAGATCGAGTTAATGCATGGGATTATGAAGAGAGTTAAGGGACTTGTCATGCGTGGTGATACTGTCTTGGAAAGGGTGAACTAGTTGGAAATGAGAAGGGAGAGCCAGAGTGATATGCCTGTTCTCAGGAGAAATTTAAAGACAGTTTTTTCTTACCTATGCCTCTGTGTTAAGCAGTATTTGTTGTCGGGCATAATTTCTGGTAATAAAAACAAGTGTCTTAGTTTCATCATGTTGAAACAGGAAGGTAATCAGAGGTCCTCATTTAGTTTTATGGTACCATTCAGTAACTTTTCTTTTTGTGAATTACTTTGGGATTCAGATTTGAGCCTGGTAAAGCATCACATCAGCAGTGCACATCTTTTCTTCCTCCTAAATTGTATCTTTTGAGTAAATTTCCCACTCTGATGCTCTGAAAGGAAAATTAAATAAGATAGATTGTATCTGTTTTTAAAAGAAACTGTTAATTCTCCCAACCATAAACTAATTCTCTTATGTTTAGGGCTGTTTGTTGAGGAGATCCTAGATTCCTGGCCTCCTTTCTTTCCCCAGGAGCTCAGAGGTAAAGATGGCCAAGGTTACTGTTATCGTTAGAGTTGGTGACTGCCTAGCAGGATCCCCCCAACCTGGGGTGTCGATACAGGTTTGAGGACTCATCTCTGCTACTGTTGGCAGTTTAGTTGGAAGAGAGATTGGACTTGGAGCCTGTCTTCTCCAGGCCACCTACCAAAACGAGTTTGTGCTTCCCAGCTTTCTGTGGCTGGAACGCAGGGGTCTCTCCCCCTCAGGCCCACGTACGGTTCTTTGGTAGACTTTGCAGACTCAGCATGGCTGGGCTGGGCTACCTGCTCGTCTGTTCAGCTGGGCACTGCTGTGTGGGCAATGTGCTGGGAGATGGGAAGGTCAGAGAGCAGTGTCTCAAGTGTTCATATTGTCAGTTTTAATTTAAAGACTGATTCTTAAGAAATTGAGTTAATGAGAAA